AAATGAAATCAAACAAAATAAAGAGTTTCCTTCTTCGCAATACTGCAAAGAAAAAAATATTATATTTGCACGGATTATTTCCTTTTAGCTGAATATTTAGTTAATGAATATGTATTAATTAAGTTACTTAATTTAGATTATACTGAATATTATGTACCTAAAATAGATTTTACAAACTATTATTTATTGGAATGAAAACAAAGGAAAAGACATTCAACCTATTTGCTCAAAAATTGACAACAAGGGTGACAAAGCTTGGGATTTAAGCCAAAGGAAGACAACGCCATGAGCGAGGGAAAAGCCTCACGCAAAGAAGGAAGATGACAACGCCCGCAGTGAAAGTGCCCTTTTATCACGTATAGGAGGTTCAATTTCGTTCGGGAGAAGAGAGGAGGAAGCGTGGGAGTCCTATGCGTAAGAAGGAATATACCTTAGGTGTGCAACGCTAGCCGGAACACATTGAAGAGGAAAGGAGCCAACCTGCATTTGATTTGAATAGTGAAGCAGAGAGCATTAAAAAATATTGGGAGAAGGAACCCAGTAAGCAATGAGATTAGAGCATTTATTTTATTATGTTATCATAATAATAAAATTTATTAGTAAAAGAAATATTGACAACTAAATTACATGTATAATTAGTATATCTTAAAATATTAATTAAGATATAAAATTTACTTATGATAATTAGAAATTTGGAATAATTTTTAATAATAATAATAAAAAACTAAATGCATCTTATACTTCAAATTGTGTTCACCTAAAGGAAATCACAATTTGAAGAGTTAATTGCAACATCAAAAGCGAGGATTGTTATTTACACATTTTAGATCAAGTGAGTACTCATGTCCTTATGCTATAATCATATTTTTTATTTTTCTAGACCAAATGCATTTATTATTACTGTCGCTAATTATATTAAAATCAGTTCAAACTCATGATTTATGATTCTATTGATTTTTTGTTTGTATTGTAAGAATAATGTGTACTAAACATTGTTTAAATTATAATAAATATTGAATTTTATATAAGTATATTGTCTACTATGCAAATGATAATGAAATGACCATTACTAGATAGTGATTTTTATAGTATTATTGCATGTGCATGTTTGACTATGATGGAGTTCACATCTTTATGATACTAACGTGTTAATGTTAAGATACTCAAGAAATTGATATTGATATACCTTCATTGATAAAAGTTTAGCCACTATTATAACAATTATATAGAGATTAAAAAGATATTGATACGTAAACAATATAGTAAAACAATTAATATTCAAAATCACCTTGGATTATTATATTAGATAGCACAAACATTCAAATGCTCATCAGATTGGTTTACATAAAGTTCAACTGGCATGCATATTAGTTTTATTTTCATCATGTTAATATGCTTAAAAAGTATGAGTATTCATTGGCTTTAGTTAACTCACTGTTAATTTAAACTAACATTTCATATTTAATTAATTAATTAAATCATGAGCAATAGAAGAGCGGGTGTTTATAGCAGATGTAGACAACTAAAAATGAGGTAAATTTAACTGTATTGTTTTAATTGACTTTCTTTAGTGTCTCTTTCATTTGTTAAATATTGGTTATCAAAATCAAATATATAAAAATTTAATTTATAGCATCTGACGTATCACCCACTATAGTTAATTCCAAGTCCAAGTTCAGGTTGTGACATAGCACAACATTAAGATTGTTTCCATTATAGATCATCTTAGTATGAAACCAAATTGATTCTATAAGTCTAATATATATTTCCTAAGCATATTTTTTTCCAAGTATAAACTCCATTTCTCTTTCCCCGTTAAATAACTCATAAGTTTAATTTCAATATAGTTAGCAAAATCTTAAGCATCATCTTTGTTTTTCAAAATTACAATCAAAATATTAGTTTTTCAACTATTTGATATTCTCTTGGTTTTCAAAGTTTCATTAGAATGATCTATATTGATACTTCAAAATGCCTTCTGTGCTCATGTTTGGTTGAGAAAGAAATGGACACCTCCAACATAGCCTAACTCATGTCTAACAGATCTAAAATTGTATTGAAAATATTTCAAGCCCAAATCATTAAAACATGGCCCAATGTAAAAACAATGCACAGGGCACATAAGAGACCTATTTTAAGGTTCAATAGCCTAGTTTCAGTCGTCTTCCATGTTCTTAATTAACCCTCTGGTGATTTAGCTTGTGTGCTATAACCTCTTGCTCTTGTAGTCACTAGCCCTCACTAGCTATCTTGGGAGCTCCCCGCTCGACTCATATCATCAATAGTTTGATCCTACCATTGATTATTATTCAGTGATCGCAAATTATAACACTAGCTCAATCAACCTACCTCAAGTGTAGTGTAACGAGCATCCAGCCTTCTTCACTATTAAGAACATTCAGTTATTTCTATTTCACTTCTACTCATGTATTATGGCTAAAGGCCAATAGTTTGTAACTTTCCTCCTCTGACCTTATCTCAAATATATGTTCTTTATTAATTTGTCTTTATATTCTTTTTTGTGACAAAGTAGAAATTATTTTATCTTTAAGATTTTTTTCTAATACTTCAGGCTTGTTTAAAAGAATAATTATATTTATGTCTATTGTATGTATTAATCCTTTTATGGAAAACATATTATAATATAACTCATTGTATGATACTTTTAAATAAAAATATTAGTATCAGGTCGTTTAATTGCATGTTTCATATTAATAATTTATAAAAGATAACATTGTGTTTATGATATTTTATGTCCTTGTAATAAATGTGATGTTGTAGTGTCTGGGTCTCAGTTTTTAGTAAATGTCCGAGCTTCATAAACTATATTATCCTCCATAACATTACAAATTCCAAAAGATATCCTAGTAAGACTTAAAATTTTACCTTCACACATTTATATTAGAAATAACTCCACTTCCTATTTTTTGTTTATTTTACAATTATCTCATTATTTTATTCATCATGCTCTTCCAAAATTTTGTCTGTATAAACATCAATTTAATAATTTCTCAAAATAGCATTTATACTTGTATGTCTTCATCTTTAATTTAGATTTTCTTGTATTCCCTTCTAATGCATTTAATTTAAACAAAATCATTACATCTCACACTTTTTACCTTAGTTATGCTATATCTCCTTTCTCCTTCAATCATACTACCTTATTAAAAGAAACGACAAATAACTATAGCTTTTAGTTTACTCACGACAACCTTTGAGAGAATTATAACTTTCTTATAATCATTAAGAGACTTTCCAGTGTTAATTTTGTTAATTCTTTGAAATTTTTTACTTAATAATCCTTAATGGCTCTTTACTACACCAACAAATCTCCTTATCAATTTAAGGTATATTACTAGACCCAACAAAAATTTCAGCAGTAGTCTTTTCAAAAGAACTAACCACCTTATCTTACAACAAGTTGTCTTAGCTAAAAATCTTAATTTGTCTGTCTTAATATCAAATCTTGAAAGATTAATAATATTTTAGCTTTCAGATTCCACCTCCTTGACCTAAGGCAATTATTTCTTTTGATTGTTTTCTTAAAGTATACATCCATAACTACTACAATTGTTAGTCAAAGTTTTCTTAGAATCTCCTTAGAATCGTCGAAATTAAATTTTTCAAATTAAAAAGAAACTATATTTGTAACATGCGATATTTATTCTTACTTTGATTATCATGTCAAACAAGTATTTTGTCTTCCCATTCAAATTTCCCAAATTCCATATAAAAGGACCTAGTTAGCCTTTTCTTACTTTTCACCACAAAAGTTAAAATAGTGGCGCGCAACCTAAGGAAAACAACCTAACCAAGTATTGCCTACTTTTCACCGTGATCGAGTTGTGCCACATTATATGGGGTAGTCTTTTCAAAAGAACCAACCACCTTATCTTACATCAAGTTCTCTCAACTAAAAATCTTAATTTGCCTTTATTAATATCCTGTCTCGAAAAAATTAGTAATTTTTTACCTTTTAGATTCCACCTCCTTGACTTAAGGCAATTATTTCTTTTGATTGTTTTCTTAAAGTATACATCCATACCTACTATAGTTGTTAGTTAAAGTTTTCTTAGAATCACCTTAGGATCTTTGAAATCGAATTTTATTTGAAGTGAAAAGGAACTACATTTGTCATAAGTGATATTTATTCTTATTTTGATTATGATGTCAACCGATTATTTTGTCTTTCGATTCAAATTTCCCAAATTCCATATAAAAGGGCCAACCATAATTTTAAACCCAATCTTAAGATAGTGGCACACAGCCTAGAAAAAGCAACCTAACCAAGTATTGCCTCCTCTTCATCGTGATCGAGTTGTGGCATATCATATGGGGTAACATACTAGCAAATCTTGCCTAATGCTCACCACATTTGAACTAAGTTAGGCACATGTCTTCAGAGAAATGCTCTAGCACCAATAAAATTTAAATATTAATTAATTTCATTCAGTTTGGAATAAATATTATAATTAAATCTCAAATTAAAATCAGTCCCCAGCCCTTCTCATTCAAACTTGTGATTGTTTGAACAAGAACGTATGGTGATTACAAAAGCGAAAGGTTGATGGTCCAGCGCAAAAAATTATCAAGTATCATTTAGGACAACTTTACCTAAAATAAAAAATGTTAGATATGACAAGTGATGGCTATTATAAATGTGACTAAAAAGCAACAATAAAATAATATCATTTACAAAGCAAGATTCAGTGAATAAGATTATATTAAAGGGATATTAGGAATAGCACCGACTAAAAATAAAGTAATGGAAATAAACTTAAATGAATTAGAAAAGCATTAAAATCACGGGTAGTTAGAATTAGCATAGAAAATTAGAAACGTAAAATAGTAGATAACTTATCTAAAAGTTGGAAAAAAAAAACTCGGACAAAATAAAGTTAGTAGCTCATGTAGCGCACACAACAATTAATGAAGAAGAATGATTCATAAAACCAATCATAAAGCTTATGATGATTAGGAGCCAAAGGCATCATTCTTGCCTGTGTGGTTTGAATGACTGAAGTATCGGATATGATTCTCTCTCCAGTAAGAATTGATTCAACACGAAGAAGTAGTATGTCAATGGAGCGTATAGGAACAGCAGATGCTTCAACAATCAGTTCTCCATTTATAGGTTCTGATAAAGAACAGTCAGTAGATATGTTTCCTGTAACTCGAAATTGACCTGGCAAACAAAACAAACTAATAAAAATGGCTTATCATGATTTTTGTACACAGTGCACAAGCTATGCGTTGGTCACACAATTATAAACGTAGAAATAGATTATTTCATAATGGAGCAAAGAAAAAGAACAAGCCGATGTGTCCAGCAACAAAAGATTAACATATATAGTGCTTCAATGTTAAGGACACTAAATACAGCACAAAATGAATGCACAGGCCACTTTTACCTATATACTGCTAAAAGATACTTGAAAAGCCAATCGTACCCCATTTTCTCTGTATGACAGCTATCATATGTCATCTTACTGACATTCCACTCCACAGACATTCTTAACCCACAGTCTAATAATCATGGTTGGGCTAATCATAAGAATTAACAGAGGGCATGCATCCTACCATACAAAACAATTTTTCCTTTCCCCAACAAAACCATTGGATACTACCCACCAACCACCAAAGGCCGACCAAAATGCCAACTGCCTCTCACCACTTTCAAGCTCCACCAGGCCAAGTGGTGGTTCTTAAGATGAACAAAACAAACCAACTAAACGGAGTAAGAGTTGATGGAACATTAGAGAATTCACAAGGGAGATTAATGATCTAGGCATTATCAAAGGTTTAGAAGGTAGGGATGCAATACCAATAGTACTTAAAATTGGAGTGGCCTAGCCAATTAACAACAAAAAGCTCCTCTCCTACTTTAAGGCCCTTAAAAGCATACCTATAACTGTCTGTTTTTATAAAGATATCTTATCTATTTTGAAAGATCTGATGCAATACTTTGGCATCTACTTTATGTAATTCAGAAAAGATAAAACCTCTGACTCAAAAAACTTTTATTAAGCACTTCTCATATCATCAATCATCAACAATTGCCTTATTCCAATTATTGGAGTGGTCAACTTTATGAATACATTTATAATATCATTGTTTTACTGTTGTATGGCAAGACAGTTTATTTTAAGCAACTAATTGTTCACAACCCCAAGCCAAGCCAATTTCATACGCCCCTTCTCCTTCCTATAAGTTCGTATCCCTTCTCTTGTCTGTTCACGTCTGTTCCCAGAACCTAGAGCCAGGTTCAGTTTCCCTTTGAGCAAATGTTGGGGATGTTCTTACCCAGCCAACCCTTAATGTTGATCACTTCTTCAACTCTCGACATTATTATGGAGAAGACTTCATTAGTTATTGAAACGTCTCAACCTCATCCCATTTGTGAATAAAACAATAATTATTTATCACTGTTGGTTTCTAGTTCTAATTGGATCATTCAAAGTGTCGACTCTCTGGTAGATAAAAATATTTAATATTCTTTGTACCATAAGAGGAAGGAATCAAAAGAAACGCTCGTCTTTCTCACTAGACTTCAAACTAAATGATCCAAATGAATACTTTTTATCTTATTCTATGTTATTGTGTTTCTCTTTCTGCTCTAGTATTTCCTGGTAAATGTCTATGTTATACTCATATCATTATGTAGTTAATATAGTTTGCTTAAAAAAGTGCCTACCCACCTTACCCCTGTATCTTCTGCCAAACTGATTTAAGGCTATTTTCTATTCACTTTACCATTGTTCAGGGATGAGAGTGCTGTGAATGACATTGTTGGATACTTCTCTATTAGAAGACGCCAGTGTCAAAGAATATATTGCTGAATAATTGATAAAATTTCCAATACAGTAGCATTTCATAAAAAAAAATATAGGATGAATCTTTGTCGCAGAAAGCAACCATAAGTCTAAACCGAATATATGTAGAAATCTAAGAAATTTCAGATGATTTTCCAAGTATGAATTGGCCAGCTAACCAAGATCTTTTGGGAGATTTGATTGGAGACCAATTTGGAAACCTCCTTATTTATGTTTATTCATTTACTATTTATGTTTTTTTTTTTTTTTTTCATATTTATTTCCTTCCCTAACTTAGGATTAGATATATTTGGTAAGTTTATAAATTAGGATTGTATTTCCTACATATTTGTACTCTTCATGTGAATAAAGTGATCAAGCAAATTTTCCTATTCAAATTTGTTTTTCAACATGGTATCAGAGCATGGTTTGAATGTTGTTTCCTGATTGAATCCTACGCCTCTTGGTTCGAACATATCTTCGTCTCCTTCGTATATGATGTCAAAGAGTGTGACCGTGCCCTTCCTTCCCTTTGAACGGCATCACCTACAGATTATGGCAAGTCAGGATTGCATGACTGCTCTCCTGGATCGCACGTCTGCTCTTTTAGATCGCATCGTCCGAGTCGCCTGCTCGTCTGCACCACCAGACTAGGCAGCCTCTTGCCCGGTAAGCCTTTGCGGGTCTATCACATTCCTCATCTGTAGGACCTCCTATCTCTCATCCACTAACTTCTATCGTCCCTGAGGCAACAATCATCTACCAGCCCTGCTCGAAATTCTCTTCAGTCGAAGCTCTTACTGCAAGCCTTCCTTTGCATTCCTTTGTCGACGGAACACTCCTTGTAGTCTAAATCCTCTTGTTGCATACCCTCCTCCAGAATCACTTCAGTCAGTTTATAGACCCTCCTTCGGAGCACATCCTCTTCTTCCTGGCACCGAAATTTTCTACATGATCACATTCGTCCAATTCTTGACACTGGATTCTCCCTGCACGTGGAATTATCCTTGTTGTAGGCTCTCCTCTTCCAAGAGAACGCATCTACAGCAGCCAAAACAGTCAATTTTTCTACCTGCAGTCACCTCTCTCCCTATAGGCCCTCCGCCGAAGCTTCTCCTTGCCGCTATCAGCGTCGAAATTCTCCTTGCAGCCTCCAACCATTCTGCAGGCTTCATCGCAGGCTACCCTGCAGCCTTCTGATCTCCAATTTTTTCCACCAAGGCAACCGCATGTAGCAGCCAGTCTTCTTGCCTTCCCACCAGCTACCCAACCGGTCCTTCCCAAGCAAGCAGACCTCTTCAGCTTTCCAAGGGTTCCTCCACTTATGTGGCAATAAGCAATCAGAAATCCTATAGCTTGTAGCAGCAAGGAATTCTTCCAGCCCTAAACTTGTATAGGGTTTACGACCAATTACAGAATGACGACGTCTAGTTCTACTCTGAAGCCTACTAGCTTGATGATACATCAAGGTGTCGTATCCTCCTATCTTGCTAATAATAGAAGATTTTGACCGTGAATAATAAATTCAGGTGCTTCTGATCAGATGACTAGGGACATTAGTGCTCTCTTCAACTACCAAGAGATCACCAACCCCTAATTTGTTAGACTTGCTGGCGGATTTCACGCCAAGATTGTTGGGAAAGAAGATATGAAAATCTCCAAAGATATTGAGCTTTCATTAGTGTTATATGTTCCCCAACTAGATTGCAACTTAATTTCAATTAGCAAGCATACTCATGACCTGAACTGTGTTACTAAATTTCATTTTAACTCTTATGAATTACAAGTGGTAGATTCGAGGATGGTTATTGGCAGTGTTGAATTGCATCAAGGTCTATATTTTCTCAAGGAGAACAATTCTCTTAACACAAGTCTCTTCTCCACTATCCACTTCTCATAATCCCAAGTTTGTTATGTCCGAGTCTATTGAAAGTCATAGTTTATTATAATATTGTCGTCTAGATCATCCTAATTTTCCTTATATTGTGAAGTTGTACCCCCATATTTTTATTAACGAAAACCCTAAGCTCTATCAGTCTGAAACTTGACAATTGGTTAAACATACTCATCATGTATATCCTTTGTTCCAGTACAAGTCATCATATCATTTCTCTATCATCCATAGTAACATTTGGAGACCTTCAAAATAAAAAAACATCAACAGACACAGAAGGTTTGTATCCTTCATTGATGATCACACTAGAACCAGTTGGATATTTCTCATTAAGGAGAAATCTGAAAATGCCCAAATTCTTCAGTCCTTCTAAGACATAATTTACAGTCAGTTCCAATGTAAAATTCATATTCTCAAAACTGATAATACAAAATAATACTTCAACTCTATTTTTAAACCCTTCCTTGTAAAGAATAGTATTATTCATGTGAGTTCTTGTGTTGAGACTCCACAATAAAATGTAATAGCTGAGAGAAGAATGGATATCTTCTTGAGACATCTAATTCTATAATACTTTCTCACAATGTCCCAAAAAGTTTTTGGAGAGAATTTGTGCTCTTAGCCACCTACCTCATTAATAGAATATCAAGCAGGGTTCTTGGACTGAAAGTCCCTCTTAATACTTTAATGAAAAAATACCCTATATTAGAGTCTTCTTGTCCAATCCTCCACTAAAAATATTTGGTTCTCTTTTGCCCACATTTATGAACCAAATCACACAAAGCTTTATCAAAGATCCATCAAATGTATTTCATTGGGTATGCGTCTAACAAAATTAGATCGAAGTGTTACTCTCATTTTACCAGAAACTATTAAAACTCCATAAATGTCATACTTTTCTTTTAAAATCAATCTTACTATCTCAAATATGATGCTCAGGGGGAGAGTGCAAATGAACATTAATTTTATAATGCACTTGATGACAACCATACGACAACCCCACCTACTCTTCTTCCACCTCATTCACCTACTCTTGATGAAGATATCCCACCAACCCAACTTGAAGTCCACAATAAAGAATTTCATGTATATACTAGGAGGAAGAAAAGCCTTAAGTAGATGAAAAACAACTTGCAAAAATAAAGCTGCTCCAATCAAAATCCATGTATACATTTACCTGAAATTTTGGGTGAAAAGTCTAGTACTCATAAGTTATCCCTTTCTTCTTGTGGTGTTGATAATAAGGAAAGTTGTACCAGATGCCCAATTCAAAAGTACTTAGCTTATGAGAAGCTATCATCAACCAATAGTGTTTATATCTAACATTGATAGTGTATGGATTTCTAAATCTATTCATGAAGCTCTTGACAATCCATAATGAAGGAAAAAAGTGAAACAGAAGATTTGAGCACTATAACATAATGACACACAATAATTCTTACTAAACTCCCTCGGGATAAGAATACAGTTGGACACAAC